ATAAAAATATTCACTAATATTTATACAAAATGTTTAAAATGCATTATTGAAATTTATTATTAAGCAGTCTGACATAGCAATTCTAAAAGTTCAAATATAATGTAATATATTGCAATGGTTTGATGAAAATATATTTCTCGCAAGTTAAAGCAAAGATTTTTTTTTTTTTATAAACCTATATTTTCCTTCTCATTTCCATTGTAAATGAAACAAAATTCTTTCTCGTTTTAATTGTAAAGTTGTATTAAAAAGTTAAATTATATAATGATATTTTTATAATTTGTAAAAAAAAAGTTTATTTAAGATCTTTTATTTGGCACTAAGTTAATGTGAATTATAATATAAAATTTCTTCATTACGCTTTATAGTTAAGAATAAATGTTCTTAATGATTTAAATCGATCATTTTAATAATGAACATTTAGAAGTGTCACAAGTGTAGTTTGAAAGTTCTTTATAAGTATGGAATGTATTTATTTATTGCATAATTGAGCTAATGGCGCACAATAGTATTTTATATTCTAATTCGCATAACTATTATCGCGTAATAATTTATTCAATTTACTTCTATATATAATAATATATAATTGTGGTATTAAATAATTTGACCATTAGATAAATTCGTTCAATGTAATAATAATTATGTGTAATGTAAATTTATAGACCAACTATTAATGAAATAAATTAATTGTTACTCTTAGGGGACTTGTAACGAATCAACAAAGTATATTTGAAATATTGGAGATTGGAAATAAGAAGAAACTAATTTCTTATAAAATAGATAATTATTTCAATATAATATTGTAGAAGTTTTTTTAATATTTATAAGCATAAATATCATTTGAGCTAAATAGCATAAAAATCAAAGCTCTTGTTATTGACAGCGAAATATTGATAAAATAGAATTAGACATTTTTTCAAATGTCCAAGATCACATTAAGCATTTTAATGTCCTTTTGAAATTTCCTTAAAGTTTCGAAATGAAGTTGTTGAAAATCTCATAGCGCGTAAATACTGCAGTAACAATTTACGTTTGTCAGCTTAATGGCTCAAAGAGTTATGAGGCAGCTGAGTAAGACGAACAGTGACAGAACTTCGTACAATACTTCAGAAGTAACATATTTATCAAAAATTTGAAGCGTGAATTTTTAAAAAATATCTGTTAACTTTAAAGATTTAAAGCTGTTAATAATACTTGTACAATTGATATAACACACTATTTGATAATTTTATTATATTTTAGTTTAAAATAGATTATGAAAGAATTGTTAATGCATCGAATTGACATTCTTTTCGTATTTATGGATGCGCAAAGTATAGGAATAGTGCAAAAACGTCCGTGCATGAAAAATTTTTGGAAAAAAATTGATAAGCCGAGAGAGAGAGAGAGAGAGAGAGAGAGAGAGAGAGAGAGAGAGGTAGTCGTAGAAAAGTAAAGCCGAAAGAGACTAATTTCTAACGTAGTAGTAGATTGCAAATTAAAATAGAGGAAAATCTACGTTTGGGTGAAAAAAGGCAGCTTGAGCTTAATGTTGGATCCTTGTCTTCTTGTATAACAACACGTCGTAGGTGATACAAAGACAAAAGCTGCCAATTGTATAAAAGAATATGTGAAAATGTTTATTGTTTTATAGATTTTCCGCTTGAAATATGTAAGCGGAGAGGATATATTTGCGGAGAAAGTCGCGGAGCACATAAGCTGCAAACAGGTTGTTGCGTAATATCCAAGAAGAAACGACCATCTACTCTCGGTACGCGGCGCTTTATTTTCTAATTCTTTGCTTTTCCAAGCCCAACTATTACTTCCAACTATGGGTCTTCCGTATAATCCTTTCTTTTTTTTTTCTGATAAACCGCTTCCAATTCAATGGCAAGATTGTCGGTAAATATCTATGGGGATATTTCAGCGGCATATAGCCAATAGCGGGCGGACAAAATTTTAATATCCTGCCCCTAAAGTAAGGCAATATCAACTAAAGATTATTATAATTTACTCTATTATGCGACAGAATAATTTATTACGAAGCAAAAATTATTAATATTTATAAACGCTACCAATGTTAAAATGTAATATTTAAAAAGAATATTATTATGTTAAAGTGATGGTTTTAAGAATTAAGCACGTCTCTTTACGTGTCTTGTGATTTTTAATTTAAAAAATTATTATTGTGCATTATTGTTAACAATATAAAGCGACTGCTCTTTCATATATACACATAAACATATATAGTCATAATAATCGATCATTCGTTAAGTATTCAATTTTAAGTTTCGGTTTTTGAAGACAATTATTCTCAATAATTCTCAATAATCTTGAAATAAAAACAAAAATTTTATTATCTCAAATACAAAAGTATAGAAAACATGAATGCATGCGGATATAATTTATATAGAAAATTAATGAGCGCTTAATGAATATTTTCTTGCTCAATTAAACTTCGGAATTTCAATAATATACTATAGACCGTTTAAACAAAATTAATAAATAATCCATAACTTCTAATTGACTGGATATTAAAATTCATTTATTGCAATTGATTTAATAGTTTGGCTGCCATGTTTTACTAATTCACCCCATTTCTTATGATTAAATTTGCGTCGATTTCAGTCAATTCTCTTCGATTTTTCATCTATAATTTTTTTTACTTATTTTTATCGTTTTGGTAAATGAATGCATTGTTCGTAAGTTTAAGATAAAGTTATTCAAATAAATAAATAAATATTTTAAATTGTCATGTATGTACTCGATAAAAGATAATAAAACTTAATTTAATTTCTTCATTATAAGTTAATCATTTGGTTTTGCTTGGTTTTATATTAATTCAGAACATGCTTTTGCAGCTTACGCATCGGATGTAGAATTTTAAAATAATTCCATGTATAATTAGAAGCTATGTAGTTATATCGTGGATTAGAGAGGAGAAGAAACTTAATTAAAAAATATAAATTTATCTGTTACATATTTGAGAGAAACACCATATTAAGAAACAAAATTAATTCGTCATTTTGCAAAATGAAAATAAATTACATTTAAATGTAGATGACCATATTCTTTAACTTTTCAATTACCGGGAGGTAAATTTTTTATATAAATAAGTGCTCGACAAACTCATGCACGGCGCATCGATGCCATCATGTTGTTTTAAAAAATCCTAACGAGTTTATTATTTTGCAATTAGCAATTAACAGTTGGCAATTACAGTTGAGACAACCGATCATAAGAATTAGCATAGCAGTTGCATCGCTATAGTATGTAATACTTGCTTTTGCACCATAAAATTATCACTATATATTTAAAAATAGTTGTGATAAATCAATGGTGCGATAGATCGATTGGTGTAGTAAGAAAATTTTTCAAATTTTTCAACACAATAATATAACAGCAATAATCGAATTCTTTATAATGAAATTAATTTTTTGACGTTTCTTTTGCCTGTTTATGGTTTTTTTTTTTTTTTTTTTATTTTTTTTACTTATTTATCAAATTTCTGATATCAACGACATAGATGGTAATGAAAAATGTATTTCTTCGTAAATGTATAGTAGTGTACGTATTTCAATGGTAATTTCAATCAAAAAATGTAAAAATTATTTTCCTTTATAATTTCTTTCGCGTTATAATTTATCTGAAATAATTAAATATATTAATACCTTAATATTATTTAGAAAAATATTTTCTTGCACTGGTCGATCGTTAATTAGATTTCTCATGAAAATCCTATTATATACATGAAGAAATATTGATTTGAAGCATTAATTTTTGCATTTAAAAGATACTATATACTTTATAATTATCGTAGAATTATTAAAATATGAATTTGAATGACATATATTGTTTATTTAGCGATCGAGTCTTGTGTAATATTTTTTAGAAAGCTCGAAACTTCAAACCGTTAAGACAATTGTTTTATTTTTTTAAATTAGTACAAAGTTTTATTATATTTAATTTCAAATCCGTACTCTTTTACGTCACGGCACAATACGTTAATTCAAGTTGATTCAAAATTTGTTTTAGCAGTGAAACTTTTATAGTTGACAAATTGGTTCTACCCATTTGGTCCTTAATGTAACATACTTTTAAACTACTGTTTAATTAATTTAATTATAAATTTCTATCGATAGAAAAGAGAATATAAAGTTTAATTTTAAATACAAATAGCGCGATCTTACAGTGGAAGATCATTGATTAATAAGAACTATAATAGAAATAATAATAGCAATTAGGCCGCGTAAATTATTGTTCGCTCACTTTGCTCGTAATTCATCAAATTGTTTAAGCGGTTATCCGTTAATCGAAGAGCAACCATTCAACAGTAACATAATCTTCATTTTCACCTAAAAATAGATTTTAATGTAATACTAATACATAATTAATATTATCTCATAAATGTATCAATCTTGTATTGTAAAATCATTCCAATCGTTATTATCATTAATTACTAATTTAGTCTTTTACCACTGTTTGACGCTTATTCCATCTCGTCTCTCTCTCTCGTCTCTCTCTCTCTCTCGTCTCTCGTCTCTCTCTCTCTCGTCTCTCTCTCTCTCTCTCGTCTCTCTCTCTCTCTCTCTAAAGTCATAATCCCTTTGAGTTCATTAAAACCGACTAAAATACCTGGCTTTTAAGTACCACAGAGGTTCTTAGTAAACATACAATTGTTGGTTCAATTCATTCGTCGAGCGATAACTTTATTAATATACCGAGCTTCGATCAAAAAGTACGATCCTCGATGTGTAACATACACGCAAACATTGGACTAGCGAAACCGTCAATAATATACGTATTTGACTGATACCGATGACCGTTAAAAAATTGCTTTGTTCATTGCACGAGTTCTTCAAGAAGAACCGCTCCGCCAACCCATTTCCACCCTTCCCTCGACTTCCCTTGCATCAGGTGCTCGAGAGGCAGACTGCTCGAACGCGAGTTAAGTCAAAGAGGTCCTCGCAGGAGATAAGCTGGTCGCCGATCGAACTAAGCGGCCTGTTGATTCGGCTCACCTGTTGCTGCTGATGCTGTTGCTGTTGCTGTTGCTGCTGCTGCTGCTGCTGCTGCTGTTATTGCTTCTACTGCTGCTCACCGAGGCTGTTATCCCGCCCTGTCTCGCGCTGTTGTGCCCTCGGTGAATCGAGAGCTGCGGCGTCGTGATCCTCGGGCGACTCGCGGCGCGGGAATGACGACGCCGACGTCGCGACGGCCTCCTATATACGATCGCACTCTCGTGGCGCTGCTCTACAAGCCTCCCTTTCCGTTTATTCGCCTTCACCCCCGTCTTCATCCCTAGTCCCGTACTTGGGACGTAGGTGCTGCATGCTTTTCCCTTCTCGGATTACCCGACGTCGACTTGTCCCCGCTGTTCTCCATATTTGCGCGATCTTCATCCGCTTGGTAATGGCTTTTAAGCTATTCGTACTCATTTGCGCTTATCCTTAAATTAAGGCTCGGATTTTTTTTCTTTCATAATATTTTACAGTCGTTTACTCGAGATAAGTGAGCTTTAAATCAAATTCGAGCAATTTGAATGTGCGCCGAAGGGCAGCAATTAGCAAGGGAAAGTAAATTCGACGCATAAATAAATTTGTCGCGTAACCTACATTTTCCTTTTAAATCATTTGAATTTCATTAAAGGCTAAACTTTGTAACTTAATACGATGTTTGTACATATGGCCTCAATATTAATTGACATTTACAATTAAACGAGCCGATTAATCATTACCAATTATAATATTCGCCTTAAATTCACAGAAATAAGGATTTTCGAGTTTATTGTTTGTTTATTGATCTTGAAACTTATTAAGCAATCCTTCTCCATTATGAATTTTCTATTTCACATTTAATGAAATCACATGCGAATTATAGCGTCAGCATAGTATTAAAATAAGTGTCATTGTTATTAAAGTACCATTGCATATTGGAACGCTCATTGACTTGTAAATATAACTTATAAAAATTTCTGTTTTAGGACTTTCTCTCTCTCATACATTGCATCGTCTAATCAATATTGGACATTTTTCTTCTACTTCTGACTTGCCCAAACATTTTGTCTATATAAGATAAACGAAAAACTATTCGCTTCATAAATAATAAAAGTGATAACGATTTAAAAAAATTTTATTGTGATGTTTTAACATTCTCGGATATTAAAGAAATACTTTTCTGAATTCAAGCTTGCGATGAATAATCCATTAGAAAGAAAAAAAAATAATAAAAGTTATACATTAATATGGTTCTTTATTTTTCAATGTGAATAATAGTTTTCGTTGAGGGTAAGCTTTCGTATATCGAAGAAATAAATTTCAACGTACTGTTTTTACAAAAATATTAATTTTTTATAAAATATTTCGTTATGATTCTGTGAATTTTCATCTTGAGCAATTTAATTTACATTTCAAATCATAAAATCACAATTATAATACCGAAATATCAATTTATAAGAAATTAGACTAATTAGAATTATTTCTTTTACATTTTATTTCGCATACCTGATCGAATAATTATTAAATATAATATTTTGGCATACATTATTGTTTGTATTTTTTCGACACATACGCAATAGTTATATTTTAAAATCTGCTTTTTAAGATATACAAGAATTCCCTTACAATATTTTATTTGATTAGGCTAAAATATTTTCCACTGTAAGTAGTAAAAATTTTTTAAATATTTTCATATAATGTATTCAAATTAATATTTTTAATATATTATTTTCTTCATATATTCATACACTTTTTATTTAATATTCGTAAAATTGATAAGAAATGAAATTAGGTATGAAGGTCACGTTAACTAATTAATACAGAAAATAATTAATCGCGTATGATGCTTATTTTTATTTAAAATTATTATTCTATTGTTATCGTGTGAACATTTTCTTCTCTCTAAATGATTATCTGTCGATATAGATCGTCGAAATTATTAATCAACCTATAGTTGATGTCAAGAAAGATAAGCAACTATTATTTTAAATTGACATTCTTGAACAATAGCATAAGTATGCAGAATAATTATTTTTCCAAAGTTTTCTTTAATAATCGATAATGTATTGAAATAATAGTGTATATATACAAAATAATTAAGTACATACGCGTGTGTATCACGGTAATATTTATTACCTCTATAAGTTAAACATATTATTTGTTATATAATTCTTAACAATATATTTCATATTGTTAAACATAAAATTTAATATCGCTAGCAATAATAAGTAGAAGTTTGGTGGATTATTATTAAAATTCTTCATTTTCTATTTATGCACGTATTAGTAATATGTAATTAATGCTTATAAAAGAGTTTATAAATAAACAAAGGAGATACATAAAAATAAGACCGTTAGAAGTAGTTTACTTTTGTATAGCCCTGTCAGTACTAACTCAATAGACCGGAGGAGTAGGGATAAAATAATAACAACGAAATGACGAAGAAGACGTCGAAAAAGGGATAATCAGGAGCGTCAATTTGGGGAAAATTAATTTGGGATAGTCTGGTTGAGAAAAGCTCGTGCGCGTACGTAAGAATTGCTTTGTAGGGTTTGTAAGGGAGAAATGGAGGGACATGAAAGCCTATGGTTCGACTTTTCATAGCGCATTATCCTCGAGACGTGTTCAGCCTACGGCATTGCCAATAGATGGGCTCTCGCAATTTTTTTCCTATACAACTATCCGGCTGATAGCGCCTTGCTTATACTACTGCACGCACCTTCACTACAAACTCATTCGTAATTCGTAGCAATCATATGTACAAGCGTGACTTTTTACACTTATGTTGTATGTGCGCGCGCACACATATGTATTTAAGTTCATAAATATCGGTATATAGGGTTAATGGGAAATATCACTCGTGTCCTCTATGCTCGAATAGCTCGCTTCCATATTGCGCGCCACGAGGGTCCTTTTCTCTTTCATTTTACGTTAAATATCAGTTTCAATGCATGCTCAATGGTCCGAAATTATATTTCAAATTTTGTTCAATTATGCTCATTTGGTTATCTTCGTAGATGATTTTTCGATATGAGTAAAAGCGTAAGTTGAAAATATGTTCTTAAAAGGGGAAATTTTACGATTGCAAGAAGGCTTTTAATATAATTCCACGGAAGGATTCTTCAACGGTAATAAATTATAAAATATTACAATTTTACAATATATTTTTTTTATAAATACATTATTTTTTGTCGGTATGTTGAAAGACATAATATTGTTGCTTTAGATGCTGAAATAATTTATAATTGTTGTATGGCTCGGTCACTGCGTATAACCCGGTAAAATTAATATTTTCTTATTTTTTTTAAAAGATTTAACTAAACTAAAAAAAAAAAAAAAAAAAAAAAAAAAAAAAAAATGTAGAATACATATTTTACACGAATTTTTATACTTTCAAATCGCAACTGTAATTTTCCATACTTCGGTATAAGAATTTTCATGCCATTATAATTCATATATTATTTCAAAACAGCATGTCAATATTTAATCGTTATTTTCAAAAATAATGTTATAGTAACGTTTTATGATTATTCTATAAACTTAATATTATTTTCATAAAGATTAGGATAATATGTCTTATAATAAGGTATAATTAGTTTACCATAATAATAACATTAATTTCTTAAGATTTTAATATGTCGTTAATTTAAAAAATTCTCTCCTATATTAAAGTTAATGTTTAAAAAATATATTTATACATTAGAATTTTATATTTTTATTATTTTAATATATTTTCAATATGTAAAAACGTTTTATTTAAAATTTCAAAAATATTAAGAACAAGTTAGAAAGGTCATTTTATTAATAAAAACGGCTTTACTTTTTTCATTGAATTATTTAATAATTAGAACTCATAAGAATCTAAATTATAATGGATTAAATTGAGAAAAATGAATTGTTTTTTTTTAAATTATAAAAAAAAAAGTCTAGGCTAAGATACGGATTTATTTCCCTTTGAAACAAAAATTTTGTATAAAAAACCCATAAAGGGCATATGGCTTATAAATTGACCGATGGAACTCAATTCTATTAATTTTTATTTATAATCTATATCTAACATTATCAGTTTTTAAAAGGTAGCGATAAGATTATCTAATAGCTTAAATATTCTAGTCAATTAATAATATTAATATTGACTTTGTTAATCTTAACTAAACTTGATATATATATATATATATATATATATATATACATATCTTGTCAATTTCATTTTAACAAAGATAACCACTATTTTACAACATATATATTTTAGGCGTAAATAAGCTTGAATCGTGAAATCAATTTAAATATAATTTATTTAAATAAAGATCTAAATTTATTCCGTTTACTCTAATTCAAGTTCATAAAATTGCATTTAGATTATTTATTAAAAATAAAACTTTTGTTATTAAAATTTCTTTATTAATAAGTTGATATTTCATGGTTTAAAAACTGATTATATTGACATAATTTTTTAACATATTTATTATTGTACATGTAAAAAATCTAAATTTTCATAATTTTTATCAAATAGAAATATAACGTAAGATATAGTGTATATAAAGATATAAAGATATAAAGATATAAAATATACGCTTTTTTTTATTTAATTTGAGTTCGTATTATTTATTATTCGAAAACTCAAGAAGATAAGAAAATATAAAACAATGCAGAATATCGGAATTAAATACGCTGCAGGTAACTGTTAGACAAATTATTTACTGCATTCGCTTTACCTATGAATAATTCTGCTGAATCATTTGTAGTGAGTAATTTAGTTGTAGGTCATAATATTGTAATATATATATATATATATATACATATAATTCATGGAAGGAATATATTGGAAATTTCGGAACATGAACTTGGAGGTGACAAACTATCGATTTAGCGAAGGTAAGGAGTTCGTGTATAATGATTTACTAGATTAAATATGAGAAAGCTCGACTTGGTGATGTTGACGGTTGGAAAAAGTAAGATGATGTAGCTTTAGAGGCTCTAGAGCGGTATAGATTTGTAAAAAATTGAAAAGAATTACAAGTGATCAAATAGATTCTGCATTTTTTTTTATTTTTA